TCGCCTTCAAATGACCAGAAATTGTGCAATTGCAGAAATTGACGTGGCATTAACGTGGCATCGATTCAAGAACATCTTTGAGCACACGTGACGTCACCTTTTCATCGAGAATTTAGCCACGTGTGCCAATGCCACGTCAATTTCTGCAATTTGAAAACGAGGGTACATGTGACTGCTGAAACATTTTGCATTGACGCTTCCACCTCATTTTCTCACCACACCCATTGCCCCCCCCCCCTCCTGCCAGAAATCCTAATAATCCTGCCAAGGAACAACATCCTTGAAAGTGAATCCTTGACCGTGGTTCACCCTGGTTCACATTCTCTGGCCACTATCACTTTGTACTATCCCTAATTCAGGGATAGGTATCAGTAAATACTTGAAATTACATTCACATGAATCATACCTAATTTAAATGATCGGTTTACAGTACCAAATTCGCCATGCAAAAGCCTGCTATACAACATAAATACATGGAAATTTGAAACACTTTATAACTCGATTGCATAAAGCTGTTATATAAGTAAAAATCAAACGTAGTATTGAAGAGCACGACTACCCGCTGAATTCTTCATAGACACACGTTGGTGTTTATAAGAAGTTGAAGCATTCAACAAACGCTTAATTTCTCACGTAACAACAACAACGCGTCAACGTCGCGTATTTAAATATACAGACTTAAAACAATAAAACTAGAATTTGGTTCACAACCAAAAAAAGAGAATGATGAGAACAAATTTCCAGTTCATGAATGTCTTAATCAGGAATGATCTTCAAGACTAGTGTGGTGATTCTAGACATTGCCGGCCTTGAAGATTAATTTTAAGCACTAGTAATTAGGGATAACAATCGGTCTACCCATATGCCCTACACGAGCTTTCATTACTCCTACCCACAAAGATCAGGATCGTGTCGCAACGCGACTGCGCGCGTGAGCACCTTTCTTTCTTCTGTGCCAAAAAAGGGAAGGAAGGACGATGTCAGACTTTGCGAATCGCGCGATTCGCTAGCGTCTGCGGTCGCGTCGCGGCCAGTGAATCACTCAATTGGCTGGTACCGCAACGCGACCGCGGACGCTAGCGAATCGCTAGTAGCGAATCGCTCGATTCGCAAAGTCTGACATCGGCCTAGACAAGAACGCAGAAGGTACTCTTTACTTGAAGAATACTTGGCCAGATTTGAGACCTTGAGCAATGCCGGAATCACTGGTTAGCACTGCTGACTAGTTAACGAGCAGTTAAAATCAAAAATATAGAATGATACAAGAAATATAGAACTAGTGAAAATATATAAAGAGAAAATAATAACAACTTCTGTCCTATACACATAAAAAACATACTACAGATAGCGGACAATGCGGCCGCCAGTACATATATGTACTTAATGTAAATCAATTAAAATCATGACCACAACATACTGGACTATGTATCCCATAGTCATCAGAATTCATGCGAATCCAAACATGAGCGCAGCTGCTCTATGAAGCAATTGTCACGCAACGATCCTTTGACGTACACAGTCATGCTACAAAAGTTTAATGAGGAATGATAGAAATATACGAGAGACTGTAGAAGAAAGAACGAACGGAGTGACAGACGGTCAGAGAGAGATATGAGGCCCAAGTGAAACAAAGCACCGTATTTATGGTGATATAACTGCAGCTGCTAATATGAAAAAACATAACAAACACAACCAAAAAAGATATCACGTTAAACAGCTCTAAAATCGCCAATCATGCAGTGAATGGATCAACGAAAAGCCACAAACACATTCAATTCTCAGCAAACTTCACGGCAAGACTTCTCAACAGTCAGCCGTCAAAAAGCTTGTATACCGAAGTAACCCTATGGCTGATTGCCACGCCAATATTGCTTGCAACAGCCGGCGAAGCGTTAAATCCTGGTTATTTTTATGTGGACCCAATAATTACTAACCACCCAGGAGCGCCAACGATCTCAAACGTGGGAACACTAATGAAAACGTAAGGTGTCTCATTCCTGATGACGTATACGTGAACTTCATTGATCGAAGTGCGTTAGAGTTCGTTTCCAACACACACCGCCCGCCCGCCGCACCTGCGCTGAGAGTTTAAAAAGTGACCTTACACGGAACTCATGCGAAACGCAGTCGCACCCAGCAACCACTGACCAGTACCTCTGAGAGCTGTTTGCACAGCTTATGCCGTTGCAGCAGCTCTGAAACGGCCCCTCACCAGTGCACCAAACATGCTAACAACCATTCAGCCTATAGTCATCGCGAGCTATGATAACAAACATACTTGCTCTTACTTTTAAATTCTATGGATGACGTCACACCAGGCACACATAGACCCACTGGGATAAGCGCGAACCGGAAATCAGAAACTACACCCTACTCAGCTATTCCTGGGCTATCAAAACCTTATACTTCTGGCGTGCGCCACCTTATATATTCAATCGTTGGCGAACATGCTGCACTTGGCGGAACTCAGAACTCACAAACCCAAACAACAGCAGCCAGTTTAAACATATCAATTCTACAGGCTTCAGATCACAGTGTTTCAATATCATACAGGAAATCATGAGAGCATGAAGATAGAAAATATTTCCGCCTTCCTTGTTAAGCTTCAAATTCAAGTTCAAAGAGTTGACGCGTGAGCCGACGGAAACCTTCAGGATGACTTTATCATTGGCCGCCCCAATCGTAAATCGGAACCGGCCATTTCTCCAGTTGATGCTGGGTGTGAGTATTGCCCGGACATAGATGAACGGTGCCAATCCTTCACGGAATGCCCAAGCCCATGCGAATGCCGGCAAACGATATGGTAGAGGACCATTCTGTAAGAACAAAGTAAAAATATACTAAAAAAAACCTAAAAAAAGACAACAAATGAGCGCTTTATGTCCTCACATGAATGAGTTTCGTTTTGCTTGATTTATTCGGCATTTTAAATGCCCCAAAAAATCCACATACACTATTAGATCTAAAAAACAATGTATCCGTCACCACCCACCGGACGCTAATTATGTACATTGTTTCACGCTCAACCGTACATATCGCGCAACGTTAAGTAAAGTGCTTCGAGAAACCTAAAAAATTGAGTCGGCCGTCAATTCCAGCACGGGCGCACGGTTTCAAGCCCTCATAGGTTTCAATTTTCGGACGCAACTCTCTGAACACTCATCGAAACAATGTACTGAAACTAGTAATTCGAAGAAATTTAGCCGTTTGAAGATATTTAATCAAAACATTCCCTGCTGCCATTTCAATGCTACTCTATTCAAATCAAAAAACCAGAATGTAAAAAAAAATGCTAGGAATTCCATCGTAAATTTGAAGTCGGTGCTCCACCTTGCAGAGGAGATGTAATAAGCGAAACACTACTATTAACATGAATAATAGGGCATCCTTTTTGCACGTTACCTTGATCTGGGCTCAAAATGAACAAACTTTCGGGCTCTAGTTAGTTAGTTAGTTAGTTAAGCGGAGAAGACGCGAGCAATGTGCGAACCCAGTCGAGTCGAAAAACAGGCTCCCTAAAAGGCGGAGTTCCAGCATACACGACTACCAACGCTGCAGAGCGCTTCATCATAACATGCAAATTGACAAACTCGTAACACCTCTTTGTAGAATTACCACCTTCCGCGACACGGCAAAAAATTTTTCTTTGAATAGAAGAAACTCGCTGACGCAGAAACCTTAAACCTCACCTGTATAGATCGATTCAAAGCGTAATCACACAAAAACCAAGCGATACAGTGCACTGCATAGTAGGCTATAGGATTCAGACCTAATAAATGATTGGCACACAGACAACCAATAAGACCAGACATGAAGCAATCCTAAACAGATAGTACGATGATCCCATTAATCTACGAAACAAAATCAAATTGGTTTTAACAGTTCAAGGAGTATCCCCGAAAACGCGGTAAAGTCTCCCCAGCGATTACTGACACTTAGAGTGTCACAAACATCAATATGAATAACATGCTATACGAAGTCATCGCGATCCGCAGCTGCATCCATCTTCTAATTCTCGCGTGGAACTTCGCTACAGTAGGTTCAGCACCGTTTTGAAGGGCCGGATGAGTAGAAATCGCTGATCGCCAACCGCTGAAAAATGTGAAGAACAATGAAGAAGTGAGTCCAGCACGAACATTTGAAAGCTTTTAACCGAAGACAATTTGAAACAGCAGAGAAGAGAATAATTAGAAAACTGAGAATTCCATTCAAGATATCCTTATGGCAACAAAGGACTAAAATCGTTGTTTAAAACTTACCGACGGCTGAACTCTAATCCAATGAAATAATCCTCCGCCAAGACGTCACCAAATGCCTGAACACCATCTTACTCAATACTACGATTTACAGGAGATCAACACTGAACACAATATTCCTTCGCCTAAGCAGTTAGACAAATTATTTTCAAAATATTCTAGTCAATAATCAAACCGCCTATATTACCTCGCTGGCTCTACTTTCAGAACAATATAATAATATAAGTATAGAAGAAGCATATAAAGTACCAATGCAATATGTAGCACAAAAACGAGCGTAAAAATAGTGTGGCGTCAACATGCTAGTTATTTATGACCTTGACTCACCGATAATCCACCGCATTCATCTAGCACAAATTTCCTCATTAATGACGACATTCCGGTCGAACATACAAACTGCATGCAGTTGCCAGCAAGATAGATACGGCCATGGCTGGTACCGAAGTAGATCTGAAGCAAGTCATTTACCCACTTAACAGCTCTAAAGCAGTGAGTACAATAATTCTGGGTGGGTTCAGAATGAGAAGTGGGAGCAGAAAAACTTAACAAAACCCGCAATGGATTACATTTGTTTCGTTTTCTATCACGAAAGAGTTTAACGCTCGGAACTAACTATTTAACTATGGGTACCCTGAAAAAAACAAAGCACGACAGATTACAAAAAAAGGCTGTTAGGCAAAAATGCGCTTTCAAAATGAAACTTGAAAGACGATTACGACCGTTCCGCAGGTCCCAGTTGGGCCTGGCGAATTTGAAGCGGGGCGTTCAAGGTTTACGCCACAACTTGCGGCCCTTACGTCACGAAATGGTACTATTCGCTTTCTTTACCATCTAGCCACCGCTAGCAGGCAGGGCGCATATGCTTCCTTGGTACGCATCCACTTAATCACAATCACTGTCTTAATGGTGGTAGGGGATGAAATCAATCTATACAAAATAGAAACTTCTAGACAATTGGTATCTTGGAGCATGAATTTACCGAGCCACACCGTAGCTGCAAATCACCATGAGATTGCGTATAGCACAATTAGAGGCCCCATCGCTGGCATAGATTCCAACAATTACGCGCACGCCGGGATTGTATACGAGGCGAACAAAGAAATGAATAAAGCACCATCGCAAAAAATGGAAAAGGACAAAAAAAATAGTTGGCTAGATCGTGACTGGCAATCGTAGCTGCCACAAAAACAAGAAACTGCGTCCCTTGAATTTTCACACAACAGTTCTAATTTCAACTCCGTGAAAGAGAGCTTACCTGTTCTAGAGCACCTGCAAATCCCTCCCTATCCTTGCAATACGGCATCTGTGTGACTAGGGCCACATCGTCTTCCATTGCATTTACCATATCCATCAGCGCGTCCGAACGCATCATAATTGCTGAAAA